ACCTCTTAACTCTAGGAGTGTTCAGAGAACTTCCCCCATGCAATCTGTGGTCCAGGTAGTCTTCTGGGCCCCTTTAAATTGCGCTCTACTTCTTTAAAAAAAATTATTATTTCAATTTTATGTGTATGCATGTATTGCATGCATGTAGGTAAGTGCACCCATGTCATGCAAAGCCCACGGAGGTCAGAAGAGGCTGCCGGACCCCTGGAACTGGAGCTATGGACAGTTGTTAGCTGCCATGTGGGTGCTGGGATTTGAGCCCAGGTCTTCTGTAAGAACAACCAGTGTTCTTAACCTCTGAGCCATCTCTCCAGCCCCGCGCTCTACTTCTATAAGATGAAATGTGTATGCATGTATTGCATGCATGTAGGTAAGTGCACCCATGTCATGCAAAGCCCACGGAGGTCAGAAGAGGCTGCCGGACCCCTGGAACTGGAGCTATGGACAGTTGTTAGCTGCCATGTGGGTGCTGGGATTTGAGCCCAGGTCTTCTGTAAGAACAACCAGTGTTCTTAACCTCTGAGCCATCTCTCCAGCCCCGCGCTCTACTTCTATAAGATGAATGAAATAACATGGAAACTTTGGTGGAAAAGATTTATATTTTTAGATAAAAAGAGAAACTAAGTCAAAATGAGATGTTTGAAGGGATTCCACTTTTATTTTAGGACTGCTTGTTTCTTCTGTATTTTATGATCAGTCAGTGTTAAAAGATGTTGGAGTCGGGGCTTAATACAGTGCCTCGAAAATAGTCAAAAAGGAATTTCTTGGCATTGAGGAGGAAAATAAGTAGAATTCTTAAAGGAAACATGGTCTGTATAGATTACATGATATTATGGCAGTTATCGTTCAATAGGTGATAAAGCAGTATCAGATACAGATTTATTAGTATGTCTATGAGATGGGTTTTTCTATGGTACCATAAGAAATATAGTTTTGAGGATAATTTTTCATATTTGGAAAGTGGTCTACTGAGAAATGTTTTGCATTAGCTCTTTTCTGGTTTTTCTCACTCTAATAACTATGCAAGGAAGATCTTTGATTAGGGACATCACACATCTAATCAATCCCAGAGTTCCATTGCCCATATGCACATGTGCATGTATACACACACACACACACGCACGCACGCACGCACGCACGCACGCATGCATGCACAACCTCACTCCATGTATGTATCCCTCTGGCACTAGGGAATGTTTTCGGAATGGAGACTGACGATGAAGGGTGCCTGGATTTGGAAGGGGAACTGATTTAAGGAGAGATTAAGGAGCTAACAATAAAGTGAACCAGAGTGAGTTTTGCAACAAGGATAGTCAGCACAGTGGAGCCAAGCTTTACACATGAATCAAGAAACAGAGTTTCATCTTTGCTAAAAAGCAGTTTTTTGCCTTTGGGAAACTTAGTTTACAATGAGTTCTGATTCCTTGTATGTAAATGAGGGAATTAGCTGAATTCTAATTAGTTGAATTCATTGTGATTACCTGTAATTCAGTAGTAGTACAGTGATATTTATTTTACTTATACAATTTTTCAATATAATGGGCATATGTTACTTCCACAGTGAACACATATTACTTTTATAAGCTAAGAACAAAGAAATTAAACTTTCTGAGGTTTTCTTTCCTTCAACCACAAAAATGTTTTCTTGTATATCAGTTTATGTGATCTCAATCTTTAAACGGGCCTAACTGCAAACTTTCTTCAAGAGTACCAACCCATAAAATGCTAATTAACCCCAAAAAAATCTCTAAGTTGCAATAATAATTTTGAAATAAATTAATACCACATCCTTCTAAATAGGTAGGTATTCACTGAATTAAGAGGGAAAGGGATGATGGTTTTGCCTCTTTAATTTTCTACTTAAATTGGCTCCATTATTATGCTTCTGGGTAATTTATGTATCCCTTAAGGCAGCATGTGGCCTTTGTTTTCAGAACACTTCTATTTCAGAGCACCATCTATTGGATCTAAATATTCATAATCTGAAGAGACATCACCAAGAAAGACACCTTGGTTTGAAAACTCTTTTAGTGCTTCTGGACTTAAAGTAACTGCGTTTGAATTGTTTACTCTAATTGTTATCTTTAATGTAACAATAGATATTTGAAGAATAGCCTGAACAGCATCACTTACAAAGATTATACCTAAAGAGTGGTCAAAAGTAGGCAAAATTCTGCTGCCATGATTGATTGAAAAATATTGGTGAGGTTATCAATTTCAAAGAATGTCTGTGAACTTTTAGGTTTCCTCTGATTTAGGAAGTCCAGCTACATTTGTTTTCAACTTCCTGAGGTGTTATTTTCCGAGGCTTGCGTGATCCTCCATCATCTCTGCTTCCCCTTTTCATCCACACCTTTTCCTTTTAATAAATAGCCAGAACTAATTACTGAGCTGTGGCAGGCTCAGCATCTCATTTCTTGTGGTCACGAGGTGTGCTTTTTGTATAATCTACTTCATATTCTCCTAGCATTAAGATATATCCATTTTGGGGGGTTAAAAAAAAGAATGCAATCCTAGCAAGTCACATCAGAAAACATTAATGTTTTGACTAATTTAAAACAGCAAATGAAAAACACCTACACTATAATTTTCAGTTTATGAGGATGTAGGGTATCATTAAAGGAGTTTAGATGTTTCTTAGTACCAATTACTTTAGACATGCCTAATTTGTTTTTCTTTTTCTTATATCCACACTATTGCCTTTAAAGTAAATGTAAGTTGGTGTCAAGTGATGATTAGCTGTGTGTCAGCACCTCACAGGGTGGATCATCTGAGCTAAAGCAGATCTGTAAGGTAGGAGTTAGGAAAGGGTCACATTTGTGTCACGAGAGTTCCTTCTGTGCTACTTTAAAACAAGTCCCATTTTACAAGCATTTGACCAGCTCAAAGAAGACTATAATGATAGCAAATTAAATGTAT